ATAAAGGTATGTATTTTCTTTAGTACTGTTCAATATATGTTATATAACTGTGATACGAAGAATAACGTTACACTACTCGGTGTTTCCGCCGATGGCTGGGGGTGTGACAATTGTTGAGTTCATCTGAGTATTGTACTTTTGGAATTGGTGTATTGATGGAAGTCGGGAGGCACAATCAGCTGGTTTGGAAAAGAATCAATTAAAGGTTGTTGGGAGTATCAGGAGTATATCAGAAAATCTCTCGAAATGTTGCATTATAACCCCATTTGCTCGCAAGCTGTTATGAGGGGTTGATTATCAAGGTTGGGAACCGATCATGAAGTCTCAAATCAAAGGTTCTTCGTTAATGTATCAGGTGTTTTGCTTGATGGGGGTACACTTGAATTGTTAAGGATTGGAGGTAAATGTGGAATTCCTGGAATTCTCATCTTTGCTCATAGGAGCAGTGGTTGGAATGGCGTGTCAGGGAGTCCATCGTATGTCAGGGTCGAATTTTATCAAGGATCTGGCAGGTGGTCGGGGGTATATGTTTTCGGGTATCTATAAATTCGTTCAGGCCGCGTAGGTTTTTCGGTTCAGGATGTGAAGTTGAGTCTTTGCGGGAGCATTTTTGATTGGTTCTGTCTGTCTTGGAGTTCGTCATTGTTCAAGATTTTCAATTTCAGGTATGGCGGTTGGATACTCATTGGCTTAAGGAAACGTTGTGATTCGTTCTTTGTTAGGGTTCGTGACATATTCTATTTTTAGGATTCGACATCAGTAAGGGTGGGCAGTCATCAGAGCAAGGTGACTTCCCCAATCGTTTTTGGGATTCAAGGGGTCCAGTCAAGATCGTTTAGTTCTGTAAAGGAGATTGTAAGGAATAATTTTGAGGACAAAATCTTATTTAAGTGAGGGAGAGTTGTAACACCCAGAATTTTGAGGAACAATTTTGAGAATGAATCACTTAATTGAGGTTTGGACACGGCGTGTTGGAGGCGCCAACACGGCTTGTCTAGAGATGAAAAGGCGTGGGTTTCATTTTGGGCAACACGACGTGTTCCTCTTGGAACACGACGTTTTGATGGCTGGTAATGAAACCCTAATATTTCGGGTTTTGCTCCCTATATAAAGGAATGTGGAGGCTAGAGTTTGTTCACCCTCAGCCCCCATCAGCCCTCAATCCCTGAAAGAAACCCTAATCATATTTTCCTCCCATTTTTGAAGCTATTTTGGTGTTTTTGGAGCTAAAAAGGGAAGAAGGTGGAAGAAGGAAGCAAAGATCCGACAAGAAAGCCCCCATTCTTCAGTTTGGCACTCTTCTGGACCTTTGTAAGTGTCCAACACTCTATTTTTATCATTTGAAGTTGCTAGATCTTAGGTTTTGACCCTTTTGCTTCTTGTTCTTGAATGTTGAAATGGTTAGATCTCATAAATTTTGCAACTTTATGAATCTCCAGGTCAAGGTGACCTAGTAGTGTCTTGGATCTGGTCTTTAATCAAGTTTTGATGCCATGCATAGAGATTAGGTCATAAATCCTCATTTTAACCTAATATGGGTTCAAGACATACATTGGACATGTATGTCTAAAAAGCACCACCTTTGGGATAATTTTGGTGTTGGAATCACTTCTGGAAAGGATGGATTTCAGACCTTAAGGATTAAGTGCTTATTGGTTAAGCCCTTGCATTTTTAAGCTTTATGGATTGGGTGTTGGACCTTTTTGGGTTGTCCCAATGGATAAAGTGGGAAACTTTATCCTTATGGATCACATTTCGGGCTAGATCTGAGCTTTGGAGCTCTTGGAATCAAGGAAAATGGCTTAACGTATTAAGCTATTGGAACTCTGGCGAACACGACGTGTTTGCAAGTCAACACGATGTGTTGGCTGAGGTTTTCCCGACTGTTTGGATACTCGTGGAACACGACATGTTTCTTAGTCAACACGACGTGTTGGGTCAACATGGACTGTTGACCTTGACCGTTGACTTTGACCAAGTTGGACCTTAAGGGTATTTTATGTATTTTGGGATTTTGATGGAATGAGTCACTCGGTGGAAACATGTATCGGTTAAAGTGTTGAGATTCAGAGTCGGTCCTCATCAGCTGTGGATCAGATCGAGAGGTGAGTCTTCCTCACTGTACTTTTGGGTCGAAGGCACCAAGGCCAACCCATTGGATTGTTATCCTAGTTTATCGCATGTTGGTATGCTGTAGCGATCTGTTAGATATGTATCCTGATATATATGATGATGTTATGATCAGTGCTTTGTAAGATCTGCCTATTTGTCTGTTAGCTGGTTATATGTTTACCTGTGTATATGTCGCCGTAATGTGGGTGGGTTGAGACTGTACTGCTTTGTGCTGTCAGTCAACAAACCCGGTAATGTTCATATTGATATGTTGTTATGATTTACTGGGCTTATATGTGTTTGGATATGTATAAGCTGACATGTTGTGTGTGGTTGGGTTGAGGTGGTCCTGTTTTGTGCTGAAGGTCAACAGACCCAGGGTGTCCCGGATAGACTGAAGGCCAGTAGGGCATACCAGTCAGGCCGAAGTCCCGGAGAACGTTCCAGATAGGCTGAAGGCCCGGTGTGGCGTACCATTCATGTTGTAGGTTCTATGAGCGTACCAGGTAGACTGTAGGCCGACGAGGCGTTCTAGTTAGACTGAAGGCTCTGTATGCATGTTGTTGTTTGTTAGTATATGTTATATGTTCGTGTGGTGGTATTTTGAGAAACTCACTAAGCTTCGTGTTTACAGTTTTGGTTTATGGTTTCAGGTACTTCAGTGGACCGTGACAAGGCAAAAACATGACTATATACATCCTCGGTTTTACAACTAAATGGATCTTGGGAGACTTTGATTTTAAATAATGTTTTGAAACAATGGTTTTGTAACACTTCTATTAGACAAAAAAGTTGTTTTGAAAAGTTTTAAATTTGTTGAATTTTGGGGACGTTACAATCCCCAAAATATTAGTGAGAAAAGTCAGGTCGTTTTACACACCACGTATGATGCCTAATTTGGGATTTAATTTGGAAATAGTATTTTGGGAAACTCATGAAATTTTAAAATTTAGGTAAGTTTTTTTTTTTTTAAATTATACAATCCAAATTAAAATTTAAGTTTGGATATAAAGGATAAATTTATAGTTTTAGAGTGATATGTATGTAATTTCAAAATTTATAAGGACATTGAAGTAGTATTTAATGTTTTTAAGGATATAACCTAGTTTTTTAAAAGAAATGTACAAATATTGTAACAACATACACATTCATGTAACTTTTTTACCGAATCAAATGTTTTAGAATCCTTAATTCTTTGTCTTCCTTTAAGGCAAGATTGATGTTGACACGAAACATACTATATGGTTGGCTTCATCATTTTCTTCATAGTAATGCACGATGACTTTAATAAGTAAGACAAATAAATATTAACTCGGGAAGTAAAAATCGATTTAATTTTTACGTCATTATGAATGAAAGTTAGAGTGCTAATCTCTATTCATATTGTATTATTATTATTATTATTATTATTATTATTATTATACCTTAAAATAGCATTATAAAACGTGAAATTTACATTAGATAACATGCATTTAATTCACATTATTTGGATAAAATATACCTTAAAATGTACGTGTACATAGTTTATATATATTAAAACCAATTATACTTTAGTGAGGGATGTTTATTGGATGGACACGGAACTAAAACAAAAAAAAAAAGATAAATAAATAAAAATACAAATTATAATAAAATATAACAAAAAATAAGCTAATCTATATTTATTCAATCTCAAATAGAGTCACGGACCACATACAAGCTTGAGGTTTTCTAATTTGAAAAATATAAATATAAAATGTTAAATGTCTTTGTATCAAATTTGAAATTAAATTAGCTAGGCTTCAACTATATTTTTATATAATTTATAAAGTTGAAATACAGACTCATCCTTTAATATTTGATTTATACAAACACGTAAATGTCTTCATCATTTTATTGAAACTATCTTATAACAAACATATTTTTAAAAAAATCCATTCAGTTTTAGTTATGACACAAAAAACACAAGAACCTTATTTAAACAAAAATTAAAAACCAAAAACTGATCTTTTAAAAACTTAAAAAAAAAAATCCAAATCAAAACAAACCAAACCAAATATAGTTGGTTATGAACTTATGTCTGCTCGGTTTTTTTAAGATCGTAGTTATAAACCGATTTTTGCAGTTGGTTTTGTAAAACTAAAAAATCCCCAAACTCCATAAAACGTGGGTTTTCCTTTCGTTAATGCTGAAAGCGACACGTAACTCGCGTGAGCGTTTGTTGGTGCGCGCGTGTGAAAAAAGCAAAATACATTTTTGATTTTCACACAATAATCTTTTTGGTTTTTGGTTGGTTGTTACTTACTTCTGGTTTGTGGAGAGAAGAGAACCAGCGACCAAATTCTCCTCTCTTTATCTCTCTCTTTCTCTCTCTCTCACACACACACACATACATTTGATCGGAGACGACGAGCGACTGAAATCTGAAACAATCAAAAACCAAAGGTGAATTGTACATATGATGATATGAAATTACCGGAGAAGCAGTTCCGTTGCTGATGGATGAGATGACGTCGTTTCAGTGGTGGTGGTATGGAGTTCGATAGTGGAATTCCGATGTCACGACCGCCTGTCACCGCCGAAGTATCGTCGTCTTTGTCTCCGCCGTTAAACGAAGGTCCTTTTTTCCTTTCTCTGTTTGTTTTTGTAGATTAACGATGGAGAATTGATGGTTTATGGAGTTTGATTTTGACTTTGTTGCTGAAATTGGCGTAATCGGAGTCATCAGTACTCAATGTGATGTTAATTTTGTACATGGATGATTTTTATTCTTTGTTTAGTTTATGATGGTATTTCAGATGCATTGTGGCAATTGAACTTGAGATCAAGGGAATCAATGGAGTCAGGACCTTATCCTGTTCGTGAAGGAGAACCAGATTGTTCGTACTATATCAGAACTGGCCTTTGTAGGTTTGGGGCAACTTGTCGTTTCAATCATCCTCCTAACAGAAAACTGGTAAAACTGTGCTATAAATTCAAGCTTTGTTGATGATTTAATTACTGATACTTGTTCATGTTACCATTTGTTTCAGGCTATTGCAACTGCAAAAATGAGAGGAGAATATCCAGAAAGACCAGGCCAACCTGAATGCCAGGTACAATCTTTTCTCCATTGATGAGATTAGTCTATGTGATTGTCATACTAATATAAGCATGTGTTTTTTCTTCGGTTTTGGAGTTTTCCACATATATTATTATGTTGGCAATTTTTTGAGACCATTTTCCTAATGATATAATTGACTATAAAATCTTGTTTCATTTTAGTACTACTTAAAGACAGGCACCTGCAAATTTGGAGCAACATGCAAGTTTCATCATCCCCGAGAGAAAGCTGGAATAGCAGGGCAAGTTTCACTGAATGTTTTGGGTTATCCACTTCGCCCGGTTTGCATTTTCTAAACTTATTTCTATAAAGAAATCTTTTCTTTTTTAAGAAGTCATGAGTCATTTTGGTTGTTAATGTTGTAATGCAGAATGAGGCTGAATGTGCTTATTATTTAAGAACTGGACAATGCAAATTTGGAAACACTTGTAAATTCCACCACCCTCAACCATCTAACATGATGGTTGCATTTAGTGGTTCACCTGTTTATCCTGCAGTACAATCTCCAACAAGTCCTGGTCAACAATGGTCGTTGACCAGAGCTTCCTTTGTTCCTAGTCCACGCTGGCAACCCCCTTCAAATTATGCACAGATGATTTTACCACAGGGTGTGGTTTCAGTTCCAGGATGGAATGCCTACAGAGTAAGCTGAGGTTTTACATATGTTGATTTACAATTTCACAAAAATTGAAAATTAATTAATATTTCATTCATATCAATTACATGGTAATGGTTGTGTTTAGGGTTCTATGGGTTCCCTTTCATCTATAGAGAGTCAACATCAACATCAACATCAAGCAGCAACTGGAAGCAATCAAGGCTATTATGCACTGGAAAGGGAGAATGTATTCCCTGAGAGACCTGGTCAACCTGATTGCCAATTTTACATCAAGACTGGAGACTGTAAGTTTGGTGCGGTTTGCAGATTCCATCACCCAAGGGAAAGGGTGATTCCGATGCCGGACTGTGTACTCAGTCCAATCGGCCTTCCTTTACGTCGGGTTAGTTGATGATAGATATTAAGAGTATTTTTGGTAATGATGGAATGGAATGGTTCATTACATTCCATTATCGTGTTGTGTTTGGTTTGGTTTGAAGGGAAAAAAATGAGTATTATTTTAAATAAATTTTACCCAAATAAAGATATATTGCTATATAAATTACACACCAACATGTTTCATGGCATTTCTGATATGTACATGTATTTCAATTAGACAAAAAAAGTTTTTTAATCACTTTAAAAAGCTGTTTACAAAAATAAAAAAACTAAAGGATACCATGAAATCTTATAATTGAATGATACATAACAAATACTTTTAGTTATTTTATTGAAACTTTTAAAAACTATTATTTTTATTGGGTATTATATAAATAAAAACAATTTATACGTTTAATACTTCATTCCATTCAAAAAAACACCCACGAGTAGGAATCACACAATCCCCCATTCCATTCCCATGAGTTTCTCATTCCATTCCCTGTTGATAAAGTTAATGTGAAGGATTGGATTGATTATAATTTGGAATGATTGTAATAGAAAGTTGGTTTGAATTTTGAACAGGGAGAGCCTTTGTGCATTTTCTATTCTCGTTATGGGATATGCAAATTTGGTCCAAGTTGCAAGTTTGACCACCCGATGGGAGTCTTCACTTACAATTTATCTCCAAATTCATCTGATCGACACAACATGTTAGCATCAGCATCTGGTGGAAGCGGGGTACTCAATATTACATCACAAGGGAATATGGAGGGTGTCTCAGTTACACTATCAGAGAGAATACAAATGCCTTCAAATGATAATTCCATTGACCATCAAGAATAAGAACAAGGACAAGGACAAGGACACCTCCTATTCAAAAAGTTGTCTTTGACTTCATTTATATGTTGTTCATGTACAGAATGCATGTTAAAAATCAACCTATTCTTCTGGAATTCAATTCCATCGATAGGCTTTAATTATCTTCACATCCATATAATGCTCTGTTTTTTGACACATTTGGGTGAGATAAAAAAGTTTTTAAGTTTTTGTCTAATTTACATCACTCGTCTCACTTATCTAATACATGCATAACAAACAGGCATATTAACATATGGTAGGTCAAGTCAAGATTTGTTCAAGCCACTTGTTGTGCAAGTAAGCGAGTTGGATGTTGTGTTGCAATATGATTATAAAAATTATTTCTTTTTTTAGAAAAACAAATATATCTCATTTCTTTCACTTTCTTTCCAAAAAAAAACTTGACAACAAATTGTAACAATGCAATTGCAAGCAGCTTTGTTGTTTTAACCATCTCATCTTCTGACTTGTTCAACTATTCTTTAACTTTTTTTTTTTAATATAAATGAAAATTCAAAAACATTTAACAAAATCCATGAAAATCACAACACTTATGAAAATGCTTTACATGGCCTTCAAATACTACACGTCAGCAGGCTTTTCTTCCCTTCATTATCTAAGACAACCACCAATCTGGTCCTCCAGGCTTCTTCACAAGGATCTGATTATATTCTGGTCTTGATGTCTGCAATCCAATCATTCATTCTTAAAGTTTCAAACAAACGTTTGCGCATTTTCCATGATACAATATAAGTTGCAAACTTTGTCCACGGTCCAATGCAAGCCAAACATAATACAACCTCTTATGTTATGTTATGTCATGTCTTGTTACTCAGTCAAATGTAGTACAACCTGTTATGACATGTGTGACAGATGGGGCAAAAAGGACTCCTAAAATCCAAATAACTACAACATAAATGTTAATGGAAGTCAATTTCCTCATTGTCATCCAAGCCTAGTGGTTCTAAAGTGGCAAGTACTTTAATGTGAAAAGCCAACCTCAAATAGTGGAGTTTGTTCTCAACTTTTTAAATGAAATCATAGGCTCATAAGTCATCACATGGATTTCCCACATATTTTTTAGAGGTGAAAATTTATACCTATTTATCTAAACATGGGTTAAGTTAGGCTATATATTATCTTCAACAATTGAGGTGAAATGCATAAAATTTTAAAAAAATTGGCTAAAAATGAAACCGATCGAACAGGTTGAAACTTGAAGGTTATAATTTTGGGTTTGGCTTTAAGCCAAGCAAGTTCTTTTCATCCTGTTGAAAGCATACAAGAAGAAGCTATTTAGAAAGTGCAATCTTGGAATGTCAAAAAAAATGGATGAATAGTAAACTCTTCAAAGGGATGGAAACTCAATTCTTTCAACGTTGTTGTTGCATTTATATACCAAATGGAGAAGCACCCAAGGGACTGTTGGACTAAATTCAGGAAGAACTGTCATCTATGATCTTGAAACAGTTCCATAACATGCAATGATGCACATAAAAGAAAAAAAAAAGCATTTTGGCCTTCATTTGCAAGGTTGAAAACTAAACATCATCATGAAAGAAGATCACTAAGAGCATATATAGTCCATTACTCCATTACGGTTTTGTTTCATCATCCCAACGGTTCCTCTAGTGTTTTAGGTTTAGGTTTTGATCATGTTTCTTAATATTCCTTCGTATATTTGCCATATTTTGTTGTAATTTCTGTCCACGGAAGATCAGATGAACTCGATTTTGATTATTCCTAATCCTACTACACCTAAACAAAGTCCAATTTGCAGAGCAAACTGTTCACAATATACCCAATCAAGAGTTTTAACTTTAGGTTTCATTAATATAACTCGATCAGGTAGGTTTCCTTAATATTTCATAGTATTTAAATAAAACCCTAAAATAACCATCGAGCGTAAAAAATTGAGGTGTGAAAGAAGAAATCAACGCAGAGGACTAACCAAATCTTTGAAGATGATGAAAGCGATGACAAAGAAGAGAACGAATAGGATCTCAAACTCCGCAAATCGAATGAACGTAAACACTGAGTCAACAGCCCGAGTTAGTAACGATTCGTCGTCTCTTCTTCTAGCGGGACCTGATCGCTTCGCCATATTTGTTGTTTTACTTCGGATCTTCTGAGTAATCGATTGTTTACAAAATAGGGCCGATCTTCGGAGAATCAAACTCAATTTTCAAGGAAAAAGGAAACACAATAATTCACAAAATATCGGACGACGGGTGGAAAAGCTTGACCATGACAATCAAAGCGAAGGCGATAAATAAAAGAGACAAATACAGGGTGATTCTTAAGCATCATACTAAAAAAAAAAAATAATAATAAATAAAGTTTTTGTCAAAATTAAATTTATGTGGGTTAAAATTTTGTAGGGTATATATTTGGTTCAAATTCGAGACTGGACGTATAATTAGTAAGATTTGTTGGTTAAATAAGAGTTAATCTATTATAATAATGGACTATAATAAATAAAAATCCTTTAAATAGTTGTTATCTTCACGTCTATTATGTTACTAGGTGTGAGACTCATGTATTACATGAGTTTAATTAACAAAAATTAAATATGAAATTTTAACAATTTGAAAAAGTTTGAATTTATAAGAAAAATGAGAAAAATTTTAAATTATTAAAATTAGTAAGGATTTAATGTATTGAATACATTACATATACAAACCCTTTCTAATAAATACCTTACATATATATTACCTTACATATTAAATGTGGAATTTTAATTTAATAAAATGAAAAATACAATAAAATGACAAATGGAAAATAGAAAATTTGAAAATTCTAGAAAATGTCATGTGTCCAAATGAAGGAGAAGGGGACATGTGGCAAAAAACCTTCATTTATTAGAGTATATATGTCATTTTGTGATAATTTTAGATCATATTATATCTACATGTTATTTTATAGGTTTTTTTAAATTTTATTAAATTCCATATAATATTTGAATGTAATAAATATAATAATAAGTGCACATCAAATTAATTAATACAACTTTCCTTATAAGTTCTAAATTTCTAAATTAAATCCATTTATTTTAGTTGTTTGTTTATTTAAATTGTTATTTGTTTAAATTTAAAAGAAAAATAAGCATTTTAATTTTAATAATTAAATATTTTTCTCTTTTTACTTATGAATTCAAACTTTTTAAAATTTTCAATCTTCATATTTATTTATTTATTTATTTGAATAAACTCATGTAGTACATAAGTCTTACAACTAGTTGGGGAACAAATGTGAAAGTTAAAAGTCTATGGAGCCAATGTGCCATTATGTGAAAGATTATAACATAAAACCCCAATTCCATCTTATCTTCCTCATTCAAACGTGTGAGAGCCAAGACAGATAAAAATTAATTTTTGGATTTAAATGATGAAATAGGTAGCAAAAGTGAAGATCTAATGGTGTTTTCTAATCTAAAGATATAAAGAGAAGCTCATAACATACTTATTTCATTCATTTTATAGTCATTTAATTATGTAGCAAGTTGGATATTCTTAAAATCTGAAAATGATGATGAAATTGCGATTAGATCAAGTTTATCGTTGAATTCTAAATTTATAACGATAATATAATGATGCAAGTTCATGTCCTCGACTAAAAATAGAGTTATGAATATCTAATGATAGATTTGAGGCCCGGGTTTCGTGAACTCATCCACAGATCCATTGGAATTTGATTTCTATATATTAAATAAGTTTGGAGTTAGTGTTTTAGAATTAATTTATGTGTGATTATAAGACCACATCATGTGTTGAAATATCTAATTTGGTTAAATTTGATGTTATGGGGTTTTGATGAAGTTTATGAGCTATAAAAATGGTTGATCATCCTTGATCTATCCAGATTTGGCAATAGTTTTTGTATTATCTAACTAAGTTCTTTTTGAAGATGAAGAAGATCATTCTTTAATAGATGAATTAGTGGTGTTAATGAAGTTAATTATATTTTAATTAAATGTTTAAACAAAAGTTGAAAACTCCATTTATTCGTCCTAATTTATTGGAATTAGAATTGATAAGATTAAGTTCAAATAAAGGAGTTTAATCATAATTTAGGAATTTTCATTATCATGTTATACCATGGGCCATACAAAGCAAAAGGTGTTGCCTATACTGGAGCACTTGTACTTTTTGGGGAAGATGATGGTGGTAGTATGGCCATATGAAATTTTGTATGCTCATACCATTTATACCTTATGATATTTTTGTGAGTGAATTCTCTAGAATGATTGGTATGGTCATACAACACATTTTCTAAACCTACTAAATAATGGTACAATAGTACAATGAGTTTCTTAGGTCATACATACCATGTTATATGAAAATGTATGATAGCTTTCATTAGACGTCATGTAATCCTTGTGTATCAATTATAACTAGAAAGTTTTCCCCCACGTTGCGGGGGGTGGAAGGTGTTGATTTTATGTGAAACTAAAGTACATTGCCTGAATTGGTAGACACAGTAAAGTACATTGTCATTCTCTACGATTCGCCCATTTAGGATTTTCACAGAGCGTATCTGAGAAATATTTATAGTTCTATTAGCTCCAAACTGTAGTACAAACTCATGGACTTTTGATAAATATGGGAGAATTAGTGCAAGAAGTTGATCAACAATCCTTTGATATGTGAATAATCATGATCCTACATAACAAAAATTACATCATATCAGTAGAATGACATTTCAATTCCAATAAATAGCATTGTATTTTCATCAGGTTGCGTATGAGAGCATTCTACTTTCTTTTCTTTCAATTATAACATTGAATGACATGGCTGTATTTGACATAATTTTAAGAAATAGCAGTAGAATGCTACAATAAACAACTTTTGATATTTCTTGTATTTTTAACCTGTGTTATTTAAAGAATTTGGAAAAAAAGTTGTATATTATAATGTGCAAATAAACCAAAGTACGTTGCTAAAAGAGATGGTTTTCAATTGATAGCAGGATATTCTAAGAATTTGCAAAAGGAGAGATGAGCTTGATTATAAAAATAGCAACATATTATAACCACTTGTACAAATATGGGCAATACATTTCAATTTTTACCCATAATAAGTGATGCTTTTACTCCAAAGTTCAATGCCATTTTTCGGTTTTAAGTTTGAAAGTTTTAGGTTTTCTAGTTATGCTCCTATTAAACAAATAAAAAAACATTTCACACCTACTGTAATTTGCATACAACCGTAAAGCCACGTAGACCATTGGTTGTTGAAGAAGCCATGGGAACACATGTGCTTTTTGGACGATTTTACCCTTGGATGCATCACCTGCATTATGAAAAACAAAAACCAAGCAATATATCAACGACAAGATTAATAAGGCTTGTTGAAATGAATCGAAATAAACATATGAAGAGATTATACAACCTTAGCCTCTTTGTATTCATTCGTACTTAGACTTTTACTTATGTAATTGAGAAATCTTTGTAACTTCTAAAGTCGATGCAATTTTCGATAGTAACATATAAACCTTTTTAACAAAATTGATTACCTGATTTTTGTTTTAGTTAAAAAAATTCGAGAAAAGGAAGATTTAAGCGTATTTTATAGCCAATGGATTTTTATTATTATTCCGGTTTGAAGTCTTATAATGCCAGTATGCCAAATTTTGCATGCAGGTTCTAATCTTTTAATAGACAATGGAAATCCTATGCAGAGCATGACATGACATGAACACACACTAACTTTTAGCATGTCATATATCTTCATAATTTAAATTAGGATGAAAGTAGGATGCTATAATAAACAAATAAATCCAAAGTACATTGTTATTTGGTGAATTTACCATCTAGATATGGAAATGCACCAAATGTCAATGTGTTTTGGTTTTTGGTAAATAAATAAAATTAAATTGCAAAAACAAAAAAAAATGTGTAAATTAAAAGTAGATTGTTATACTAATACATTTGCCACCTAAAAATGGGAAAATGCAACAAATAGCAATGCACTTTGGTTTATGGTAAAAAAAATCAAAAAAATTGCAAAAAATAAAAACAAAAAGGAGTAAATTCAAAGTACATTGCTATTTAGTGAATTTACCACCAAAACTTAGTAATCACTCAAATCTATAAGAATCATCCATTCATAAACACTACTTATTGTTGTTGTTGTGAATAAGATTTTTCATTTTTGTAACCTCATCTTCATCCTTTTGCCTTTTATCATTAACATTGTGAATGTTGTGAATCCTAGATCAACCAAATTGAACCATAACTTTAAAAAATCAAAAGCATAAATATATGTCCCGAAGCACGTTCCATCATAATGGATATTAGTTTAATCCTAATATTTTGACATGACATGAAATAAAAAAATAACATATTGAGTGTTTTACGCTTTTTGCTACTAAACTATTGTTTTTTATTTAATTACAGAACTATAATTCATATATACCCTTTTCAAATTTGCATAGGAAAATGTAGCCTTGCCTCACCTAGCTATTGTAGATTCATCTCATCTTCCATCTTATTTAAATATTTTTTTCCCGAATCACATTCCATCATAATGGATAGTAGTTCTATCAATTTGTGTTTATCTTCAAGTAACAATTCTGCAACTGAAATATCACCTATGTATAGCAAAATTACTCAAAATAGTTTACATCGAAGCTCATATATCAAGCAAACTGATACTTTTTTTATCATGTAATGCTTGCTTGATTGTACTCAATCCCTGATTTATACAACGCATGTGGATCATCCATCAACTGTCTCATGACATCAAGCCAATCATCAAACTTTCTATAGACTTTATCCTTTTTCATTGTTATTTTCTCACTCACATCGGGATGATTCATTATTTTCTCCATTTCCTTTTGCCTAACCATGAGACGCTTCTCCCTATCGACCATAAGTGCTTGTACTTCATACAAAGGTACTTGCAACTTGAAACGTCCCATTTTCACATCCAAAAATTTTTATTTTTATTAAGGTAAAATTCCACATTATAAAATCCATATTAAGAAAAACCATTTGTTTCAAATTACATTTGTTGAGAATCAAAGCAATATGATAACGTGGAATCTTCATTGTTGTTGATGAATGTGTATAGTCCTGCCTTCGCCTTCCCACGGCAACCGTTGATACCTAAAAAACAATAATAGCTGGGTAAGCACGAAGCTTAGTGAGTTCCTTGAAAGTACCCCACATAATAAACATACAAGCGTGCATATCGGGTCCTCAGTCATCGGACTGTAATACCCCCGGCCTACAATCTTCCGACTGGAATGCCCGGGGTTTATTGGCCTGGCAACTCAACC